TCGATAGCCGAAAGAAGTTTCCGCGGCGCGAGATCGATTGCGATATCAAAACGTAATTGATACCACTTCGGCGTGAACATAACACTGCTATTAAGCCCAGCTTTTACTTCCCGTCCACGACACGATAATAATGGCAGCTTTGATTTCACGTTGATTCGTCAAACCTCCACCCGTCATTATACGCTCTGTCCTGTGTGTATGAAAAGGTGAAATATTTCACACGTACGAGTTTCCTCGTTTCCGCTTGCTTCGTGACGGAACGAATTGGAACGCGAGCAAATTTTCCCCTATGAATAATATTTTTGATTTTTTTCTACCTATCCTTTCTAACACCCTTTTACGTCCATTATCGTTTGCAGAATATAAAAAGGCGATATCGAGATAATAAAGGGTAAGCTGTTGGAGGTGTCCTGGTGGAAAAAAAACGTCGCGTGGGCGTCGAGAATCTTCGTGACGAACATAAAAGGAGAAGGCCGCTCCTTTTCCTGCGAGGTTACCGCAGCAGCATTCGGTAACCTGTAGCATTTAGAAAGGGGGAACAGGACGAGGAGATCGGGAGAAAATTTCATGAAATCGTGGTCGTTACGTGGACCTTGAACAAACTTGATTCCTCGATAGGATCGTTCTACGAAATTCTTTCATTGCCTATCAGACGAGAAGATTTTCTCTCGGCGAATTTTATTCCCGGTGGAAACCGTCTAAACCGTGAGGGATTAAACCTACTCCGAAAGGGCAGGAAGTATTTGCAAACGATGGCGGTTATGGATTTCTCTAACAGCTCCCGAACGTCTGACTCGAGAATTTTGTTCGGTCGAACTAAATGATTCATGGGTTCGTGTTTCTCTAGCGCAGTAATATCCACGAAGAAACTCGAAACTGTGTACAACTGTACAATGCAGGAACTTTTTACGTTCGTTCTCCGGTACAACGTTTAATCTAACGTCTGTTCGGTATCGAAGCATTCATCTTGTCGATACACTAGCAGTTAATAAAGTTCATTCGCGAAATTCCGTAGTCAGAGAGAAACAATAGCAAGTTCAGTGTCACGGAGGGAACGTAAATCAAAATGGCACGATCTCCAAGTGATTCATGAGCTTTGATGGTCGGACAGGACAAGGGAGCAATCGACTATACTCCTTTGTAGAAGCGTTACGATGCACAGGACCAACCCGTACAGAGAGCTAATGACGATACATTGTGGCGAGTAGTTATGCCTGAATGCTAACGATATTAAGTACGATCGATGCAATTAGAATGATTTGACCATGGAAAAGCCACGAGTCGTCAAAGGACCTCGGGAAGCAGGGCCATGAAAAGGCGCGCAAGCTCAACTATTTCAACTCGATTCATCCCGGCCTATTCGCAACAATTAATTCACCCTCTATGCCGAAGATAATTAATCCAACGATATTCTGCTTCGACGAAAGCCATGTAACCGCGAGGAATATAGTGCGGAGGACAATTGAATCGTTTATTGTTGAAACGGTACGTGTCCAGCTTATATTATGTTAAATAATACCGTGCCGCATATCTTTATATCGTCGAAGTTTTTTTCGAGACGCTTATAAATGAACCGGATTAAAACGGGAACAGTTCTACAAAATACGCATAAAAAATGCTGACGTTTCGGGTGTTACGTGCAGAGCGCAACGTGCGTCACGGGTTTCCTACTTCACCCGTTACTTCTTATTATTCTCGTTGAAACGTGAACATGCGTTAATTCTATCAACGTGGACTATTAACACGCGCGTCAATGATCGTCGCGACGATACAGAACCGCCGAATTACGTTCAATTTTTGAACGTAAGTAATTTCACAGTGCAACGTATACCGAGAACTTTTTCTCGGTTTAAATAGCGGCGATAAAGATTCACTTGAAGCGAGACTAGTTAACGTAGAACCAAGTCAGCTGGCACTTTAACTTCCTTACGGACCCTTTCTCCAGATGAAATTCCAAGTTTCGCGAAAAATGAAATAACTTTCTCGATGATGTAAAAAACATCGGAATATGCATAAACTTTCGAATGGGATGCTAATTAAACCGCAATCAACGTGATTTTCCTCTCAGCTAAACGAGATATTTCAGGAAACAGCGATATTTCACCGGGTAAAATAATTTTTCCTCGAAAACCCAATTCGAAATCGTTTCGAAAATGCAATTCCTTCCTAATAGCTGCAACCATTCCGTTTCGTTTATCCACACGTGCGCTGGCAATTTTTACACTCGAGTGCAATCACAGTAAATCTCCAACTTCCATCTCTACGAGTCATTATTCCCAAATAACAACTGGCTATACGTAAAATCTTTATTTTCTCGAAGAATGCACACGTCAGCGTGTTCCAAGAAAGATCTCCCCACCGTTGTTTACGAAAGCGACATCTCGTTGGACATCTCTCCAACGCGATTGATTTAATTTGCGAGTTGGTATCGTCTAGAGAACAGTCTAAAAATACGTGTCTCTCGCTTAATTCCGGTAATTGGGTCGCATGATCTTCGTTCGGTGGTTCGGGAGGGTTTTACACGGGAACAGAAAGTGACCTCGCGGTGCGGACGGATGCTGAACATTATTTTAACAACGCTTGACGATATGAACGCTATCCTTTAAGCGGTCGGGATCAAGATGTAAATATGGCGGGCGTCGACGCTACGTTGATCACCGGCTCGGTGATCGTAAATCATGGGTTACCCGTGACAGATAATCCTGTGATAGCGGCACACCGGAAGACCTGTTCGCTTCGCGTCTCTCTACGTTTATAATATCGCGTCTGTAGAGCCTCTCGTCCGCTACGCGAACCGAAGATTATCCAATTCGAATGTAGATAGAATTGTAGATGAAGTAAGATAAAGCTGCATTTCAACTGGAGGTTTCAAAGGGGAATGAAATTGACCAACATCGTGATTCAGGTGTACCAGCATCGGGAAAGCTATGCGGAACTTGGAGATTTCTATGTCCACGGCCGCGATAAACGCAGGACGAGAGTGCAATGCAAATATAGGAGATAACACGGATCGAATCGATGAACTATGCTCGTGGTGGCGTGCGTTTCAAACCTAACAGCTCACGCCATCGCGTAAAATCAGAGTTCAGTTATCTGTTCGATTCTTGCACGACCACCTTCGCATCTTTCGATAAAGAAACGATCTCTAAAGACGCTTTCACGCTTTCGTAAAAGGAACTCGACTGAAATCCCATAGGAAGGACGTCGAGGAAAGTTGCATGAAGCAATTTCTCCGTGATAAACGGTTATTCCCGCAGCAAATATTTGATCATCCGCGACGAACAACTTCCAACCTTACTTCCTCGACGAACCCTTTCCGCTCGAAAACACGAAGATCATGCATTCGAGGAGTTAACGAAGTTATTGTTACGCGAAGGCTCCTCGAGCTTCTTGTCGGAGTAAAGTTGACGTTTTTATTGGCTACTCGTGCTTGGAAGTCTTCCCCGAAACGGAATCCCTGATTTACTCGTTGCTTCGAGATGAACGCTTGGCGTCAACCTGTATTCCATCCTAGGGAAATTGCTTTCGTTGACTAAACTGATACCGAAATTCCGTGCTCGAAACGAGTCAGGCTTTAAGCGTTGATCCAGCGATCGTGATTGCCCGTGATACCGTAATTAATCCAGTCCGTGGTATGGTATTACAGCGTTGGTCGCCTGAGGAATCTCTCGCTCGTATTTTGCGAACGTGGAATGTTGTCCTGCGAGATAAATATACCTACGCAGGTTGCGTGGACGAAGATCGAGTTTGGAGAAACACGTATTAAAGGAAATATAAAACGAGAAGAGAGGAAGGAAAAATTGTTGCGCATTAACCGGATTTTGATAGGTAAAAACTGAAAAAAGGCAGTATTACGTTTCAGGTAATCTTGCAGGCAGTTTGGTGTATAAATTATTATATCTTCGCTGCACGTGTAGGGGGGTATAGAGAATCGGAAGACGGAGTGAACAAGGCCGAATGAAGAGAAGTACAATTAATAACCGAAAAATCAATGCGGCTAGGTCAAGTACCGTACACATACATAGATCGATCTCTCCAACTGTCTTCGACGCGGCGCCGCGTCCTGCCTAACCGTATGAATGAAAGTAAAGATAGAAAAGAACGGACGTGTTGGGAGAGAGAGAGACGAATCGAAGCGAGGGAAGGAAAAGCGGGGAAAACGAGCGCTCGATCGAGAGGGTTGCGAGAAAGCGGAGGTGTAGAAGGGAGACAATCGAGAGGGGGGAAATTGAAAGGAAGATAGGCAAGACACCCCCGAAGGGGATGCAAGATCGTAAAAAAGGACGGAATAAAAAGTGCGCGAAAAATATGATGGAAAAACGGAGTAACACGTAAAAACGAAGCAACGGAAGAAAAGGTGAAAGCAAGGTATAGGACAAAAAGCGAGAAGAAAAGATGGGAAAGAAGCGGCGAGTGCAGGAGCTGAAGAAAGACGAAGCGAGGCAAAGTTGGCAAGAGCAGAAAGAGAGAGGGAGAGGAAAAAAGAGAAGGGAGGAAGAGAGAGAGGAGGAATCGCGCAGGCGGCATCCACTGCCAGGGTCACTCGTCGCTCCTCCGCGAATGCTCTTCTACTCGGATGATTCTCTTCGTGGAGCACTCAGTGCGCTGCAAGCGCTCCGATGCCGCGTGTCGACTTTACGCCTTTCGACAGGGAAATCGTACGTGAAATCCGCGCAAAACGTCCAACTTTTTCAATGTCGAACGAAAAGTGCGAAGATGCTTTTTCCTCATACCACCGGTCCAACCGTTGAAAACCTCGATCGAGAGTTCGCACGATCTATAGTTTATTTTCTTTTTTCTTTCGTCGAAATCCCTTTCGACCTGGTGGTGGAATCGATTTCGCTCTAAAAAAAGAAAACAAAACGAGACTGCAACGGTCGAGTGAAAGTTTCCGAACGTCGAATTCGGAGCCAAGTGATATCAACGGGCGTGCGCCGATAATTTTAGAACGAAACATTTCGTCCGCTTCCAGGTGCCAATAAAACGAGAGGAAGATCCGTGTGGACAAATGATTCGGACGTAAAGTGTACGGCACGATTAAAGACTGCGCCGCGGCAAAAGGAGCAGCGTGTAACAAAGCCCTTCGTTCTTTCGACCAAAGTCCCGATAGTTCGTTCGAGCATCTCTGAAGAAAATCTCTCCAAGTTTCAAAGTGCAACGTGCGTTTCGGAATATTTGACGGAGGAGTGTAAAACGAGGAAGCGACGCGTCGAGGAAAACGGAGAGAAAGTTATCAAAGACGAAGGTGCGATGAAAGTTCTTCTTACGTAAAAATAACAACGGGATGCTGAGATATTTTTTAAGGACAGATTGTCGTGCAAGAATTTCCCCCAGTTTTGAAATTCCTCGATCCATCTGACGGCGCATTTAAGCGCAACTCCCGCATCTGTAATGTTTTCTCATCCTCTTAATTCAGCAGCGTGATGCGCTTCGCGATGTGTTTGAGTAGAAGAAGATTCAGTGCCGGATTAACCAAAGCACCAAAGCGTGAGCCTCTTAACAAGCTGTTGACCCGAAAAAACGTTTTCCTTCGTTACGGATAACTTAGCCGATTCTCTTTGCTCTCTGGATGCTTACCCGATTCGCAAGATCCCCCTTGCGCGATACACCAGACCAGAATTTTTCTCACAATAGAAATTAATTATTAGCGGCGACATTTCTCTTGATAATCGTTTCGCTAGATCAGCTTCTTTTCTATAGATCACCTTTCGATAATTTCTTGCCCTATTCGTTCGTTCTAATTAAACTATTGCCAATTATCTTCGAATACAATTTGCCGTAACTCGTTCCTACCGGGCTAGTAAAAGCCTTCAGAAATTTCAAAGGATTTTTACCGGTTCAAAGGATCGACTATGACGGACAAAAGCTACATGTATCAACTTGTTAAAGCTGTAAAAATGGCGCGGGACGTTAATTACGGGGCTTTCTGAACTTTACTAGCTGCTCGATTCCAAAGAAAACTAACTAATTTAACTGACGTATCATAAACTGAAACGAGCTAATACCGAGTAACGGAAGAATTGATTTTTATGGAGACGAAGTAACGTTCGTGCAAAGTTTGTCCCCATGAATCGAACGTGGTAAATTGCACAGCATTATACGACACGGAATTAGTTTCACCTGCGAAAACCCAATTATGCTTCGACGTAAATTGCCGCCACCCAAAGGAATTCG